GAAGAATGGTGTTGCATTCATAATAAAAAAGTCAATTTCAAGTTGTATCCTGAAATACAATGTTGTGAGTGTTAAAATAATAACAATCAAGGCCTGTTAACAGGACTATTATTCAAATATATGCTCCTATATCTGGTGCCAAAGAGGAAGAAATTGAGAAATTTTACCAAAATTTGCAGTCTGACATTGACTGAACATGCAGTCAGGATGCGTGTAAATATTTCTTGGCAAAGTGAATAAAGCAGTTTTTAGTACTATACACACACACACACACATATCATCCTTTTATTGTAAAAGTTGCACAGGATTTGGTTGGACCAGGCCAGTAGAAAATTTCTAGAAGGTAAATAAGAAAAGGGACACCGGAAGTCACTAAGTGGTCCAAATCTTGAGATATGGAGCCCACATAAGGACAAGGTTAATCCCCGACCTGAGGTCATTGCAGGCCCATGGCCACTGTGCTGGTCCAGCTCTCCGGACCCCCTCAGCCCAGTGACCTGCCCCTCAGGTTCCCAGGGCTGCAGACGTTTTCAGAAGCAGACAGCCTCAGCTCTGGCCTGCAGAGCAGGTGCTGTGTTGAAACCCACAGTCTTTTGGTTGATAGATGAATGATTAGCTACAGAATCACCAGACACACGACTTTCTAATCTCCAAACAGGACAGATAATAATACTCTCAAAAATATTACTCTGTTTCGACCTTACTGGCAATCCTTTCCCAAGAAATTTGACTACGGCAACACATTTTCTTTGTATCTTCTACCCTGATTAATTTGGGATATTTGTTAATCATTTCAGAACTTTGTTTGGTCCAGATAAGTGATTTAACAGGTGTGTATGTGTGTGTATCCTCTTCTACAACGCGTTGCCATCATCCTGGAAATTCTCGCATGTTCTCCCTATCTCCTGCGTTATCCTTGCTCAGAGTCAGTCTTCAGGCGTTTGTCTGCTGTCTAGGAGCGTGGCCCCTGTGCATGGTGGGGACCGTTGGGGGTCATCGCTCTGGGGTCAGCAGGAGCCTGGCGTTGCCTCCTCAGAACTTTGCACTGCTGAGTACTGACCCCCTGAAGAGAGGGACCCGCAGATAATGGAGAAAATGCCCAGAACTTGTACCTGGTCACTGTAGCACACCAAAAGCGACTTCAAGCACAAGTGAAAGAAAAGAGGAAGATAAAATGGGCCTTACTTGATTTTAAAAATTAGGACCAAAATGTGGTGCTCCAGCTCTCACAGTGTGGTTCACGCAGGAGCGTCCAGGACCAGCAGCAAGTCAGCATGCTCAGGGCAGGGGGCCAGACCAGGACAGAGGGAAGGACCATGGACAGAGATCTCCAGGCCCACACAGGGATCCACTGTGAGAGGAGAGCTTCAGAGATGAGGGGAGAGCTTCAGAGACACCCCAGACAGAGATCTCCAGGTCTATGCGGGATCCACTGTGAGGAGAAGAGCTTCAAAGACACCAGAGAGGCTGCTTCTGCTTCAGCATTGCCCTGGCCCCTCTGCTGTGGCCAGTCTTCCTCTGCAGTCACCCACATGTTCCCCTCTAGGTTTTGTAGTTCCAGAGCCACAGTTCTAATCCCCGTACTCGTAATATAGCACCCTGCCCCTAGGCTAATGGTGACGTCTGTCACAGAGCATGCCACTTCTCAGCCGAGCTCTGCTGGCCTGCTGGCCAAGTGGGAAGGAGCAGAGCTCCCAGCCCACAGTCCCACGGGACAGGCAGGCCGTCTCCACCTCTGTGACTGGCTGCCTCTGGAAACCCATGTAGGGTTCTGACTGGATGGGACACAGCAACTACTTGGCAGACATTTTTCTTGGTTTATAAACATTACCTCATCTTGATTGGAAGCTCAGAATTAATAAAGATAAGACAGTTATGTCATCATCTGTCCAGAGTTATAGAACTCAAAATGGTGTGGTGCAAATTTGAACACAGTTTTCTCTACTACAGTTTGCAGTTGTTGTTTTTATGCTCCGATTTCTCTGTTAAAATGCTTTCTCTGGAATGCTGAGGAGCAAGGATGTCAGCTTAAAGATTAAAGTGCATCTGATCCAGGCCATGGCGGTTTTCGGTAGCTTCCTGTGCATCTGACAAGTGAACACTGAATAAGGAAAACAAAAACAATAAATGCTTGTGAACCATGGTGCTGGAATGTTAACTATGCCATGGACTGCCCAAAAACTAAAAAGTCTGTCTTGGAGGAAGTGCAGCCCAGGGGCACCTTAGAGGCAAAGCTGGTGAAACCTCAGCCCACATCCTCCACGCGTGTCGTCAGGAGGGGCTGATTCTTAGACAGAGACATGCTGGGAGAGGTGGAAGGTCGGACAAAGAGAGGAGACCCTCAGAAAATGGACTGCCATGGTGACTGTCCCCGCAGGGACAGTCAGGATGAGAGGACGGTGCAGGATAGGACAGAGTTCAGTATGTTGTCATGAGGCCACTTGACACCTAACAACAGTATCAGACGATACCGCCCACCTTCCTGTGCCCTCCTTTAAACAGTCTTCCGCTTTCAGACAACTTACACTCTGACTAAAAGCAACCTGTGTCCACTAAGCTGTTCCCAAATCTCCGGCCATCTAGGAGTGTGTGGAGGTGGCCCCCGGCTTCCCAAGCCTGTCATCTTCATAGAAGGGAGCTCTAGGGGCCCAGTGGTAAGGATTTAATGCGGTTGACCCCGAGGTGCCTGGGTCATATCCTCCAGCTCCTCAGCGAGCGGACGGTGGGCAGTCTGCGCCCATGTGATTTACAGCCTCTGAAACCCCCCAGCGGCTTCAGCTGTGAGTTTGACGGGATTTGACAGCACAACACAGTGTCGCATCTGCCTGCAGAAGGGGACCAGGCTGGTGCGTTCAAACCATCAAGGTTCGGTTGGCATCTAGATGCTTCCACCACCTTACCAGCCATTCACAGAAATGCAAACTCACTGCCATTGGGTGGGAACAGACTCCTGGCCGACCCCTGGTGGGTTTGTGGAGGCTGTAGATCGAATGGGAAGTGATGGCCCAGCTCTCTGTGGCAGAGTCACCTTGGGATTGAAATCCCAAGTCCAGAGACACCCCGTTGGGGTCAGCATATCTCCCTCCTGGGGAGGCGGCCAGGGTGCCCAGCAGCCTGGCGCCTTTGTCACCATTTGAGCTCTCTCAGATGCGTGCTTCTCATCTCTTCAAAAATGTGGTCTCTCAGCTCCTAGTCCTCAGCTGTAGATGTAGCTCTAAGAACTGCTTCCAGATTGGCCGCGTGGATTCTGCTCCCATTTTTTTTAATTAATTTTAATGAAAGTTTATAGAGACTTAGGGTTTCCATTTATTCATTGTTGCACTTTTCTCCCTGCCCATCCTTGCCCCCAGTTTGCTCTTCTCTTTGAAAAGTAAAAGAAAAATTCTTTCATTGTTATACAATCCCTCCCCCCAAGTCCACTCCACTGTGCAGCCTTCGTTCTGGACTCCTGTCATGACAATAATACCTAATCATATCTCTTTTTTTTATCATTTTGTTTTAATGAAAGTTTACAGAGACTTTGGATTTCCATTCTTTCATTGTTATACTTTTCTCCCTGCCCAACCCTCCCCCCATTTCACTTTTCTTTTTGAAAAGTAAAAGAAAACATTATTTCATTGTTTTACAATCCTTCCCCCCAAGTCCACTCCACTACGCAGCCTTCGTTCTGGACTCCTGTCATGACAATAATACCTAATCATATATCCCTTTTAAACAGTTTTCTCTCTCATCTGTTCCAATGCAGTACACATTATTTATCCCCTCTTTCTCAGTCTCCCTCCAACCCCTATGTCAGTTCTCTTTTACAGGGGTGGCACTATACCATGTTTGTCTTTTTGTGACTGAGATATTTCACTCAGCATAATGTCCTCCTGGGTCACACATTTTTTTATAATATTTCATTAGTTCCTTGCTTTTCAATGCAACAGCTCCTCTATCAGTTCGTTTGTTGATGGGCACTTGGGTTGTTTCCAATTCTTTGCTATTGCGAACAAAGCCGAAATAAACATAGGTGTGCACGTATCTGTTTGGGTGGCAGTTATGGTTTCTTCAGGGTAGTTCTCTCCCTCATCAGTTTCAATGCAGTACACATTATTTATCCCCTCTTTCTCAGTCTCCCCTCAACCCCGATGTCTTCTCCCATTTTTTGTTCTGCCTGCCGGTTGTACTTGATGAGACTCTCCTCTCCTGATTACTTGGGAACGAGCCACCGGGCACGTTAGCATGTGAGGCGTAGCGTCTTCTGTGTGTTCTCAGGCATGCTGATTCTTGACTTTTCCAGTGATCTTGTCTGCTCCTCACCTCCTGAAGCGCCTCCTTCTACCCTTCTGGTATCGAGCCAGCTGACGTTTCATTCTCACGTGACCCTCCTTCTCCCGTCATTGCTATTGGGCTCCTCTTTGCCTTCATGTGATTGCATCTTCTTGTGTTATGAACTGGTATTGAACTTGACCTCAGAGGAACTGGTTGAGTTTTAGATGATGAGAACGTTTCAGCAGTGCTGACTAACTTGTTCTGTTTGAAGCCTGTGTTTTAACCAGCTGACGATAAGCCTGTGTATAATAATTAAAATGTGTGTGTTCACATTATGAAAACTATACTACTGATGATTTGAAAAACTTGATACTTAGAAAATGACATTCTAGTCTCAAGGCTCCAGTGAACTAAAACAAAACAAGAACTCAAAAACAGTTTTTCAAACTACCGATTCATTTTTCTTAAAAAAGTGTTGCATTTAAAATATTTGCTGACTTTAAATACATGAAAGCACCCCAAGCATTTGGATGTTGGAATTCATCATGTAATCCTGAGATGGACTCCTTTTTCTAGCAGTTTCCCCTGCTTTCACGTAAAGGAGACCTAGTGAGTGCAACCCATGGTATAAAAGGCATGAGGGTGCAGGTCTCTGCTGACCATGTGAGCTGGGAGTTCGAGGCTGAGTGGTAAAACTTTGGTAGTCTCTAATGCCTGTGTTCTGGGTTGTTTTTTTCCCCCTCCAGGTTTCCCGAAATGCAATTTTTCCAACAAGAAAACGTGAGAAAAATTCTTACAGATGTTCTTTTCTGTTATGCCAGAGAAAACCAGCAGTTGCTTTATAAGCAGGTAATGAAAATATCGTACAGGTGGAATCCATTGACTCAAAAATGTTCTCTACAGCTTGACGAATGATGGTGCAATAATGCGGTCTTTATGCATCCGGAGAGGAATCATAACGGCAGAGCAGGCCCGGCCCGCCCGTCGGCTGCCACCGGAGAGGAGGCGGCTCAGTGTCGTGCAGATGCTGCTCCCCCATTACGACGCCTTCCGCCGAATTGTCTCCCACGAGGATACTCGTCTTGGCTTTCAACTTTGGGACTTTGTTTGTAAACAACTTGTAGAAAGCCAGTCTAGTAATAAAACTTTTTATAACTACAGCTATAAATATTGTTTCTAAGCACAGCATTTATAAATAACTGCAGTTCCATGTAAAAAATAGAGTATCCTATAACTCTTTAAAGTTTACTAGTAAAAAAACTTCAGAGGACCTGAAAGACCAGTAAAGGTTTGAACTTTACATTTAGCTTCTCTGTGATCCTGTTAATTGGATCATCTCATTACTAAAGCAAAGAAAATTACTGTATTCAACATTTTCATGCCTATGTAAATTCTTAGTAGACAAAGAAGCGTCCAAGCTTCTACTTGAGCTTAAGAAGATGTCCCAATAAATATAGACACGTTTAAGCATTTCTGATGTCTTTCTCCAAATGTCTAAGTTGAAGTCAAACCGAACTCACAGCTTGTCCAAAAGTCACAGTTTCTACGTGAGCCTGACTTCATTTTTCTGTTCAGCAGTCTCCATTTTACAAATGAGATCTGCTCTTACATGCGTCTTTAACTTGAATTTGTAGGTAAGCAAGCCCAGTGCAGTGCATGTGATTCTTGGTTCACTGCCGTTCATGAAAAATTTTGAACCCTTTTCCGTTCTTTAAAACTTGCAGTTATTTAAAACCAGCAGGTGAAGGTGATTGTGATGAAGAAGTTGTTCCAGTCATTTCAAAGTGAGAGTGAACCTAGATAACATTGAAGGTCACGTAGGAGTCATTCAGATGTTCAAAGCCAGGACTCACTTGATCTGGCCCAAGATCTGTCCAAGTGAAAGCAGTATCTTTCATTTTAAGTGAAACAGTTCAGAGTAGAGGAAAGCACTGTTACAGTTCATTTATCCTAAATAATGCATTGTCGTGATTGTTACATACACAATACCCAAGGGAACTCCTTTACCATGGTTTTTATAATAATATGTTTTCTCTTTAATTATTTGCTGAGGATCCCTTTTTTAAATACAAGGGGAACTGGAATGTATACAGTCAATGGTAACAGAAACTATAAAATGTACCAATAAATAAGAATTAAAAAAGGCACAGAAGCTACAGGAAAGAAAATGATACCTTTTATTGAAGGCTAAAAAGCTGAATTGAATAATGGAAAATAATGTTATATTTTTAAATGAAAATACTTAAATAAAAATAACAGTCCTTTTTAAGTTAACATATAAATGTACTGTAATTCCAGTGAGATAATTTATCTGTATTTGAGGGTAAAGGCCCAGAGGTTTTCGTAAAACAGGTTTTTTTTATGTTTTCTTCTGTTAAATTATGTTTTACGTGACAGTGTAGACAGCAAATTGGTTTCTCGTTTAAATTCTTTCTAGCAGTATTCTGTAGCATTGATTACAGCTCTGACAGTGGACAAGCATTCTCATTTCCACTCTGTTCCGGTTGATCTCTCTTCCCTTCCACCACTACCTGCCCCCTTGCTTACTCATTTTTGTCTTTAGGTAAATTTTGAGCATTTGGTCTCATATAGTTGATTACTTAAAGTTATTCTTTTTTTTTTATTTAACTAGACGTATTTTTTTTTATTTAATGCCAAAATACTTTACAATGATTTTGTTGGAGACAGTATAGTTCAGTGTTTAAGAATCTTGGATCTGAACTCAGGACTCCTGTCGTGGAATCTCATCTCCTTCATTTACCAGCCGCTTTCCTGTTGAGTCAGTTGTTGACTTGAATTTGCTGCGTCTTGGTTTCGTGCTTTGCAAGATGAGGAGGAGCAGTAGCATTTACCTCACAGGTTAAGAGCCTGGAGTGCTCCCCAGGAGTTGAGCCTCATAGGTGTAGAAGTATACTTAGTATTATCTTCATCATCTTTATTATTTAATGGTTCTGATGGATGACCTTATAACATGGGAAAGGGAAAGAGTCACAAAAGGTGAGCATTGAACTTTCTGTGGAGTGGACTTGAGGGGAAGGATTGCATAACAATGAAAGAGTTTTACTTTTCAAGGAAAAGAGTGAACTAAGGGGGAGGGGTGGGCAGGGAGAAAAGTGCAATAATGAATGACTGGAAACCCTAAGTCTCTGTAAACTTTAACTAAAATTAATTTAAAAAAAAACATAAAAAAAGTCCACTCAAAGCAGTATGACCCTTGCATGGAAACAAGCAAAGATATTAGTAGAGATTAAAAACAAGTTTAATTATATGTTTATGAATTTAAGGTAATAAAATGAAATGTTTGATTCAGCGGGGAAAGGACGTTGATTTGGTATGCTTGGCACTCCATCTAGAAAACAGATCAAGTCATATTTTTACTGAAAAACAATTCTTAAGCAGTTTAAAGATATCAAGATAAAATAAAGAATACTAAATAGTCTTTGAGCAAGGTGCTGTGTCCTTTTTCTAACCTCAAGGTAGGAAAGGCTGACCTAGACGAGACGTTCATTGTCGTTGGGAAGAAGCTGACTCCTGCCTGATCTTTGTGAGGCTGGGATCACGCAGGAAGAGACTTTCCGTCTTCCTCCCACAGAGCAGATACCCAACCACCCCCCCCAAAAAAATAGTCTGAAAGAAAACACCTGTGAGTGCACAGCAAGCAACAGGAGAACCAATTTAAAAGGACTTGAACTTCAGGGATGCTATTAAGACACGTAGCAAGAGGTCTGGGAGTAGAACAGTTATACAGCATTAAACCATCTTCCCTCAGTAACTTGGAGCATTCATCAGGCCTGCCGTTGTTTGCTGTGGCCCACTCCCCCCATGGCATTGGCCAAGCTCTCTCTCCCTCTGGTCTTCCTTTCCTAATGCTTGTCTCAAATATTAGGAAATACGTAGACGTAGGGGGATTGATGATAGTGAACCAAATCAGAGTAGAATTATCCCAGGCTATACACTTGTCTTCCAATAAAGAAACAGAAATCTATGATGGCTAAATACTATAAAAATAAAAACAGTTTCATTGACAAGGACCAACTGCACAGATACCTCCTGTGTGATGTGTTTGGTCCGGAGCATTTGTGTGGACACTAGGCAGCTGTGTGGGAGGGCGGGTTTTTAATAATTTAGACCAAGTCTGCCAATTATTTAATAAGAAAGTATTATTAACTTTCTCCTGGATATCACTTTAAAAGACTTAATTATCCCCAGTACATACTTAAACTCCTACAGATTCTTTTCAGAAAAAAAAATAAAAATAATAATACCTTGATGTGAAAGAACTGAATAGCTGGATCAATTTTAAGGGAAAAAACCTTGAGTTTCATCACAAGCTGTTAAAGCTATTATTTTGTACTAGGTGACACCCCGTTTAACATCGACCATATTGTTAATAGTTATGGGATTTTATTGAATTAATGAGACTGTTATCATGTAGTAGAATGTCTTGCTGAGTTAATTGAAACTGCAGAGATTATATAAATGGTATTAATGAACTTTGACTGCCTGATGCCTCTGCTTTAATAAAGACTGCTTGGTGGGCTAAATGAGCGCAGGCAGATAAAAGCTCAGGTTCAATTTTGTGCGCCTACAGGCAGTTGATGAAGAAGACCTTGTTACCTTTGTTTTCACCAGCAAGAGCGTGGAGGGCCGTGACCGCTAACTCCAGCAGGGCTGAGGACGCTCCGCGAGTGTCGGTGCGGACAGAGACGCTGGGGGGCCCGGGACACTGCTGCACAGACCCTTGTGAATCAGCTTACCAATAATACTACAGCTTTGTTTCTGAATTTATTCATGTAATCGACAGGTGAAAGAAAAGGCTACCGATTAAATCACCTGACTTAAAACTTAACGTAGGTGAAGTATAGTTTGGGGGGAAAAATATCCATCATAGTCTTCTGGTTAAACAAATTCAAAATTGTATTTTAAAACTTTGTTTTCAGGCATACCTGGTAAAGATTGTTCCCTTTATTGCCCAATATTTGTAGCTCGCTGACTTCAGCTCTCCCCAAATCTACAGACATCCTAATTTTGAGCCATTATGTAATGAAAATATTGGGTGTAAATTTCCTTCGGTCGACAGTTCTTAGTTGCCCTTCTTACTGCAGAACTTTATACTGAATCTCATGATTATAATTTGCATAAATGAAATTCATATTTATGAGTACCGATCTTGAAGCAACTGACAGGTGCAAGCCTGTCTGCCAGGCCGATTTCTTGTTTGTTGTGTTATTTAGAAGAGAACTCTCTGTGTTTGGAAGAAGAATAAGCACCCTGGTTGAATTGGGATCAGATTCTAAAAGTCAATAAACCCTTGTTCCGTAGCTTTCCACTCTGCTGCTTTGCTGTGTGTCACGGGAGTGCAGTGGGTGACTCTGTGAGGAGGGATCACGCGTGTGTGCAGCCGCCGGCGGGCGGGGGGAAGCACCTCTGGCGTCAGCGTCTCGCTCTTGTGTTTCAGGGCATGCACGAGCTGCTGGCACCCATCATCTTCGTCCTCCACGGCGACCACCAGGCTTTCCTGCACGCCAGCGAGTCCGCCCAGCCCAGGCAAGTAGTGTGCACGCGCGGCCTGCTAGCCAGCCCTGCTGGCATCTTGTTCCCAGAGAATCTTTCATGATGAAGGCACTTGGAAGATATCTAACTTGTACACACGTGCTTTTGTTTTGTGGCTAATTAGAAGGATCCAAAGAAATTCGACATAATAGTTCTCCTGTGGGACATATTTGGAATAGTAAGTGTTGCTAAAAATCATTGTATCGGAAGAATAGAACTGATGGGTCAAGGAGAGGAAATATTTGTTATAGCAGGAAAGGTATCAATATATACTACAGAATGTCTATATATACTATCCTCTGGTAGCCTCTTCTTTCACTGGAAGTTGCGTGAAAATGTTCCCTAGACTTAGCTCAGCTCACTTTATAAATAAATGGTACACTCTTCTACTTTGCACATCACTCTTTGTCAATATGCTACATGAAGTAACCTGGGTTTGCTGTGATGCTGAAACTTGTGCCATTGGGGTATCAAATACCAGAATGGCTTCCCAACGTGGACAGCGTTTGGTGGAGCTCCCAGTTGTAAAACAGGTTTGGAAGCAGGAGTGGCATCCACTTCCTAAACCACATGCCCCTGGAAACTCTATGAACTTGGAGAAGTAACAATAGTTAAGGAAAGGCATTAGGTCTTTTGTTCATAGAGTTACTATGAGTCGGACTCAATTCAATGGAAATCAACAACAAAAACCACGAATTCATTCTTTAAACCAACAAAAATGGCTTTTTGTATTTCTAAGTATATATTATTTAAGCAAATAACTTTAGTAATGTTACTTTGCTTGGGCTAATTGTTAGAATTAACCCACTAATTTAAGATAGCCTGATGTTCAAGCTGGGTTTAGAAGAAGCCATGTCACCAGAGATATCATTGCTGATGTCAGATGGATCCTGGCTGGAAGCCAAGAACACCAGAAGAATGTCTGGTTTTGCTCTATTGACTGTAGAAGCATTTGACTGTGTGGATCATAACAAATTATGGCTAACAGTGAGACGAATGAAAACCCATGTGGAGCCTGTATAGTTACCAAGAAGCTGTTGTGGGAAGAGAACACGGGAATAATACATGGTTAAAAGGAAGGTGTGTGCCAGGGCCACATCCTTTCCCCACACCTATTCAGTCTGTGTGCTAAGCAGATTATTTGAGAAGCCGAACTCTGTGAAGTCAAATGTGGCATCAGGATTGGAGGAGGACTCATCAATAGCTTTTATTATTCAGATGACACAACTTTGTTTGCTGAAGACCAGAAGAACTTGATACACTTCCTACAGAAGATCAAACCCTCCAGCCTTCAGTGAGGATTGCATCTCAGCACAAAGAAAACAAAAAGTCTCACCAGTGGACAGGCGGCCTCATAGTAGATGGAGGAAAGATTGAAAGTGTTAATGACTTCGTGTTACTTGGATCCACACTCAGTATGCTTGCTACCAGTCATCTGGAGATCTGGAGACGTATTTTCCTGGGAGAGTCTGTAGTCAGCTCTCCAGATTGCTGAGGAGAAGTGATACCAGTTTGAGCACTGAGGTGTAGTTGATTGAGACCATGGTCTTTTCAGTCACATGCTGCCGAGAGCTGGACAATGAATAGAGATGACAGAAGAATAATGGGTGCATTTGAACCGTGGTGCTGGAGAAGAGTTCTGAATATCAAATAGACTGCCAACAGAACGGACAGATATATGTCTTGGAGAAGGTGCAGCCAGGGTGCTTCTTGCAGGAAAGGATGGTGGAACTTGGTTCCTCGGAGAAAGATATCAGCTTGGAAAGGTGAGGGTGTGGTGAAATAGAGAAAGTCCCTCAAGCAGATGCATTAAGACAGTGACTTCAGGAATTGGCTGGAGTGTGTCAGAGCTTGTGAGGTTACACAGGGTAGAACAGGGTTCAGATCTGTTGTTTATAGGGTCCCTGTAAATCATACTTGACTAGACAGCACCTAACGACATTAACTAATGGGACAGACAGAGTGATAACCAAGTAGCATTTTTAGAATGGAGAACTTTTTTTTAGGATTGCCAGACTTGCTTCTGAGACTCCATGAGCTAGTTGTCTATATGTGAAAAGAAAGGATTTTCTTAAAAAAAAAAAAAAAGTAACTCTTGTGATAACCATAAGACCCTATCATACATCGCTTAGAGTGGAATGTACTTGGGGCGGTGGGAGGGGTGCGGGAGGATTGTGTACCAGGGAAGGAGTGTTTTACTTTTGAAAGAGAGGAGCGAACTTGGGAGGATGGGGATGGGCGGGAGAATAGTGCAGCAGTGAATGAATGGAAATCCAAAATCTCTGTAAATGCTCATTAAAATTATTTTTTTAAAAAAGTAACATAGCGTGTGAGACCATCTTTATTAATTAAATATAGCTGTCTCTTTTGCTGAGCATATGTTAGGACTTTTGTTACATTTTTTCTAATATATATTAGTATTTTTCCTTGGAGCTTTTATAATTTTACTGACTTTATTAGAGCTTGGAAAAAAAGTCCCATGTCTCAATTGCCTTTGCTTAAGTTACTTCCAAGGTATAATAACAAATGAATGAATGAATATCAGCATCTTCCTCTTATGCCAGTTTTATATTTTAAATATATACACATGAGTATGTACTTCACACTAGAGTATAAATTATTTAAAATAGTTTTATGTGTGTATGAGCTGAGTAAACTTCTTCAGTTTTTTAATTTGCAAAAAAGTAAAACACAAAATAGATTTTTTAAGAGGTTTTGGCACTAATTAATTGATGTGAAAATAGAAACAACTATGAGAAAATAAGTTAATGTTTTGGCATTGCATGGTTGGCTGTTTATTTTTTTAGGTTATTATATATATTTATGTTATTATCTTGGTTTGGCAACAAATAATAGGTTATGGAGTAATCAATTACTGTAGGTCAAGAATGTTCAAAAATATATGGGAACAGTCTGTGTTTATGATTTAGAACTAATTGTAGAATAGACAAGGCAGCTTACTTTTATGGAAATGATTTTTTTTTTAAGAAACAACTTTTTCTTTTATTACAAAGTCTACTTTGTGGGGTTGCTTTAGCTTCCATATGAAAGCTGATGTGTGAATGTAAAATAAGGCACCCCCAGCATTTCATTCAATTAAAAAAAATACCGATTTTGACTGCTTGTGTTGTTTTTTAAGTGAGGAAATGAAGACTCTCTTGAATCCTGAGTACCTGGAACATGACGCCTAGTAAGTCCAGAGATTTCCTGCTTTGTTTATTCTTTCACACGGCTCTGACTCTGACGAGGTTTAACGTTACCTTCCTCTTGCTTTTCTCATATTCAGTGCGATGTTTTCAAGACTTATGGAGACTGCAGAACCCTGGTTTTCTACTTTTGAACATGATGGTCAAAAGGTAAGTTGGGGAGCACTTTCAGAAATACTTAAGAAAGCAGATGTTTTCAGTAAGTAATCACAGATAATCACTATGTATAGGCAGTCATTATTACTATTACAATAAAAAAAATGAAAACATAAAAATAGTTCTGGACCAAATAGGTATATAAACCATATATTAGACAGTACACAAAAACAGTTAGGAAAGATTTCACTTAAATAGAATAGAAACTTTAAGAATGTGTGTGTATATATTATCCTTGAAGTATAATTTCTTATTTATAAGATTGTTAAAAACTCTGATAGATAAATGCATTTGACTGTTTGATTCATTGCTATGATAGTGAATTGATAAGAGACTTACTAAAATGTGTATATAAGTCTTATCAAATGAAATGTTTTACAATAGAAATGTAATGTATCACTATTAAATGAATGCATTTAAGATTAATTAGTACACTATTAAACTCAGCATCAACACCTCTTACCTTTACTTTCTCTTATCCATATTTTAACTATTTTTGTAGTGATACTGCTATGAGTTGCCAGCGACTCCTCCGATGGCACCTGATAACAACAACATTGTGATAAAATTTGCTTATCTTATAATCCACCCACATAAAATATGTAATTCAGTGGTGTTTAGTAAATTCACAAGATTGTGCCAACATCAGTACTAATTGTCAAATATTCTCATTACCTTTGAAAACAAATCAACCCAAACTGGATTCTTCCTTCCCAAAGCCACAGACACCAATAATCTGCTTTCTGTGAATTTGTTTCTGGACATAACTTTGAAATATACACTAAGTAGGCTTTTGTCACTGACTTCTTTAATGGAGGATGCTTTTCCAAGGTTCTTTTTCATTCTATTAAGCACCAATACTTCTTTCTATCATGGCTAAATAATATTCCATTTTATGAACACCACATTTTGTCTTTTCACTCATCAATTGATAGACATTTGAGCTGCTTCTGCATTTTGGCTATTATGATTACTAAGTACACTCACGTTCAGATTTTTGCACAAATCTGTGTTTTTCATTTTCTAAGTATTTTCCTACAGAGAGAAATTGGCAGATTTAATACACATATATATGCTAATTTAGAGGCCAGTGACTTTTCATAGCTGTTTTAAAATATTTGAAAAATGGTTTTGTGATTTTAAAGATATCTGGTATATTGTCTCTAATATTATTAATTTCCTATTTATTAGTATAATTAGAGAGCTCTAGTGGCCTAGTGGCAAGAAGGTGTACTGCAATCCTGAAGGCATTTGGTTTGAAATCCCCCAGCTGCTCCGCGGGAAAAGAATGGGCAGTCTCCTCTGGTGTGATTCAATAACTCTGAAAACCCACTAGAGGGTCAGTTATGGGTCGGTTCTGACTCAATGGTACAGGACAACAACATATCAGTATAATTAATTACTCTCTGGGTACAAACTTGTATATTACTATCATTTCATCTGTTAAAAAACCCAAAACCTAGGCACTCTGTAACTAGTGCTATTTATGACTTCACTCTGAGTCAACAGTTACTGTGTATTTCTGTGCAGAGAAAATTTCTGATCCTTAGCTTAAGTGGTGACTTTCCCTTCAGCAGTATGTCAACATGTTACATATCAAACATGTCACAGTGGTTGGATATAAATCTACTGTGTGCATAGATAACCAACTGTTTTGAAAGATAATCTTTATGTTCTTAACAGATGATTTGATGAAGTCGGAACATCAGAGTTTTGAGCAGAGTATTTGACCACGTTTAAATGCAGACACATGACCTTTTCATGCAGTAGAAGATCCTTTTAAAACTAGTTCTGAGTCCCTGAGAACTAAATGATTCGGAGTGGGAGTTAACCATTTTCCAGTTTTGCTTTTTACTGGTGCTGATATTTTTAAGTTCATGAAAAGTGCATAAAACAACACAAAGAAAAAGATAACTCGGTTTACACGAGACAAAGTCCTGCCTCAGAACAATCGGCTTGTATTTCCTCCAAGACAGACCTGCTTTTCTTTTGATAGTCCATGGGCTATTCCGTACTCTTCTCCAGCACCACAGCTAAAAGGCAGTGCTGCTGCTTCCGTTATCTTTATTTCTTGTATGGCTTTCATATGCGTAGGAAGCAGTTGAAAGGTCGAGGCTTGGATTCTGCACATGACAGTGTCCGACTAACACAGCTTCTCTTTAGGACTGTGGAGAAGCCCTTGACGGCAGATTCTCCTAAGGCAACACGTCTTCTGATTGCTTTACTGCCGTTCCCGTAGGTACTGATTGTGGATCCAAGTAAAATTAATTCGCTTCTTGGTATCATCAACTCAGTGGTACACAACAACAATCAAGTACTTGAAAAACTGAGCTGAGTCTACTGCTGATTTAACCGCAGTCTGCCCTCTTCGTACTGGAGATTGAGCGCTTGTTGTTATGTTGCCGACTCCCAGTGACCCTGGTACAAAGGACCAAAATGCTGCCGAGTCCTGAACCTCACCACCCTGTTGCTGCGTGCCGTGCCTGGGTTAGAGATCCTTTCTATAGAGGCTTCTTAAAGATATAGACATAGATACAGGGTCTTATTATAGCTATCTTTTTCCAGGTGACAGGTAGAAACATTACTTGAGTACGAGCCCTCGACCCAGCTTTGAATAATAACCAACCATACAAGGTTCTCTATCACAGAAAACCACACAACTCAAATACAGAAAACGGTACTCATTTTTTAATGAGAATTCAACTTTACACACTGTCTGTTATGAATGATATTTTAAAGTCCCCAAAACGTACATTCCAAATTAATATAGAGAAGAAAATAATTAGTTTTAAATTTTTATTAGAATAGTATTTTTAATTAGAACTGTAGATATTGCAAAATAAAGAGAAAAGTGTTCCAGTATTCTTTTTGCAGTACAATATAGAGGCTTTGTTTCTCATGTGTGTACAAATTATACAAAGTAATTGAGCCCTATAAACTAACGTGATCTTGCTTCTTGTGGGTCCCAAAGATACTTTGTAGGAACTGCAAGAAATAGCATTTCTTTTTAAGAAGGGATGTTTCCCTCGAAGTATCAATGCGTGCACTTCTCTCCTCTCCTCTCTGTCTCCTGCTGGCTGCATCAGTTGGTACTCTTATATGGAATTTCAGTAGAGAGAGAGAGAGTGAGTGTGTGTGTGTGTGTGTGTAATCGTCCATTCCCTCTGAACACAGACATTTTCCTTCAGCTGGCCCAGAATCTGGCCAAGTGGTGGGACGACGCTCTTGGTTTTCGTCATCTCTCAGCTTCTTGTTGTTGTGAGGTGCCGTCGAGCCGCCTGCCCGTGTGGCACAGTGAGTGGAACCCTGGGCCATGCTGGGCCATCGTCATCACCACTCATATATTCACTGCTGCCGTCACTGTGCTAATCCATCTTGTGTTCAGGCCTCTTCCCTTTCACTAACCCTCTACCTTTCTAGCTTGATGTCCTTTTCCAAGGAGGCCCCTCCTAACAGTGTGCTCAGAGGTGTCAGGTGAAGCCCCACCCTCCTTCCCTTTAAGGAGCTTCCTGGTTGCACTTGCTCCAGGACTTAGCACTTTGCTGTGTTGGTTGTCCAGAGAATCTTCAACACTCTCCTCCTGCATCACAGCTCCAAAGCCCCAGTTCTTCGCCGTCATCCTTATTCATCGTCCCGCCCCTCTCAGCTCATAGCTGAGCCTCCATCAGGTTTGCTAAGGCCCCAGAGTGGATGGCGTGTCTTTCTCCCAGATCCACTAAGGTTTCAGCTACAGAGAGGCGTCCCCTTTGGGTTATCAGAGCCTCTCCCTGGCGCTGCACCCCAGAGCTCCATGGCTACATTAGCCAAGGTCACCTCGCCAGGCGAGCTGCTGTAGGGAAAGCTGTGTGAGGGAGTACAGGTAGACACAAGGTGAGACTTTGTCAGTTACCTGTATGGTAACGGACGTATGATACTATGTTTTAAACGTTTGTTGTGAGATATTAGATGTGGTTCTTACTTACTGTTTAAACTCCCATTTATAGGTAAATTCAAGAATGATTGCCATCTTTTTGTTACTCTTGTATTGAAGTCATGAATGTACCATTTTTCTCCTGTCTTTGTGTTTTTAGGGGAAAGAGACATTGATGACCCCCATCCCCTTTGCCAGGCCTCAAGACTTAGGGCCAACAATTGCTATTGTTACTAAAGTCAACCAGATCCAGGACCACCTTCTGAAGAAGCATGACATTGAACTTTACATGCACTTGAACAGACTAGAAATCGCACCGCAGATATATGGGTTGTAAGTACTGAAGTTTCAATTTCAGCTCTTTCTAATTATGATGTACGATGGTTTCTAGACGTTACGGACGAGGACCAGCTCTGTTTGATGTCTTCATCTTTTTTGTGTCCTGTGTGCTGTGCTCTGGAGTCATTACTTTGATAGATGGTGTCTTGTCTAATGCTTCCACCAGCCTCTCATTAATGGCTCATCCTCTCTTTTGTACAAATGAAGAAAGTAAGGCTTAGACCAAGTCAAAACTCCAGAAAGTATGGGCCGCGTTTACACGTAACAAAGGCGGTTCACACTCTGGACCAGGTACTTGCTTGCAAGGCCAAACACAAAATGAAAATACTGGAACCTTTGTTTATAATAAGGATAGCAGATCACTATCCCCTCGCCTTGGGTAGCCATGCAGATCAAACGTCAAGAAGCCTGCCCTGAACCCAGGGAATCCTATAAGGTACCCATATCCTATTCAGCATGAGTTCACCATCTGCTCTAGCCTCAGAAGTTCATTTCTACCAGGTAGACACATGTTCCTTTCAGGAAACATTGTCTTAATCTTTTCAGCTGTGTGACCTCTAATAAGCTGTATAGAAGAATCTCAAGTTTCCAAAACTTGAGCAGCAAACTGGAGACCACAGGGGTTAGGGGGCCTGGGCAGTGCAGGGCGTGGGGAAACACACTGAGAGTGAAAAAGCAGGATGGACAGTGTGTGTTTTACTGGTGTACAAATCGATAGAACAGTCTTACAAGTACAGAGTAGGAAACGTCCTGAGCTCTCGGGCTGTAGACAGCAGAAGTGTCTCTTGTACAGGGTGGTGTAACTACAGTGTGCTACAGCTAAGCAGTTCCTTGGTAGAAAGTTTCTATAAATATGTGCTTTCAGTTGGTGGAATTTGGAAAATTGACAGGTTATTTATGTGATGCATAAAGTTGATGCTCCGTAACTATGAATCCATGATCTGAATTACAAAAGCTCAGCACCAGAGCATAACTGTTGGGTTAGCCCAGAGAAAAGAATGCTACAAGCGTTTCATTTGTTTTCATGTTATACACAGTATGTACTAACAATAAACCTCAGCTGACTTTGTTTCTTGCCAACACTGAGCTGTGATTGAGGAGGTGGCCTCCCGCTCTAACACGGATCTCATCCGCTTCTGTGACGTCAGCTCGGCCTCCTCAGTGAGTGTGGCCCTGTTGTTCTCCGGCCTGTGGAAGTGTTTGTGACATGGGGGCTGGGTGGCATGGATTTGTGCCTAGGATCTTAAAGAATTACTTTAAAATGACTAATGTGATGTCAGGAGGTAAGCTCTTTCCCCTACACTTGACCAATTGATTTGTTCAAATACCAAAGCCTATTTTATGGCATCGATTGGTTTTTTTTCCAAGGTCTAGAAATGGTTCTTGAACACAGAAAGCACCAAAGTGACAGGCGACAGGTATCATTTCTTTCTCTGACATGCCCAGTCACAGCTTGCTCCTCCTCTGCGTGGGGCCCTGTGTCCTGGAGCCCTGCTTGACCTGTTACAGCCGTGGACAGACTCTGGCCTCTGCAGTTTCCTCCGCCCCCTTGTGTTCCCATCTCTTCTCTCTTCATCATGGGAAGTCACAGGATGCTTTGACATGTGACCGACACCTTCCCAATCAGCCTCTGTAAATGCCATAACTACGCTTAATTGCTGCAACTTTACTTCCTAGTGATAACTGGTAATCCCAGGACTAACCATGGGCCTAGCTACCTCGTGGGCCCTGTTATTGTATAGATTATATGTATATATAATTATATATTATATGTATATTTATAGTATATTCTATACATTCTACAGTTTTATCTCCATTGCCAGTAAAAACTTTTTTTTTTTTAAAATCTTTGATGACTAGGGCATTCCTGCTTTGTTTAACCTTCATTTTACTTTCTTGTGGATGGTTTTAATTACCATTTCACTGATTTCTTGGATGTTGTTGTTATTTGTGGCTACGAAACACCAGTGTCCTTGATTTGTCCTGGTCCCAGTAAGGGAGCCAGAGTTGGGCTGCCATCTAGTGAAGTGGCACCACAGTGAGACAGGCCTGCTTAACGGCCTGGAGCCCTGTGTTCTTGTTTTCTAAAATGAGGAAAAACAGTGATTGTCCTTACCTTGTTAGATACTTGTGAGAACAGAATCATAATGTGCATAGAACAGTCTGGTGATGATATGTGTACAACTGTTTGAATATGATGTCCCATGAGATTCTCCAGCCCTTCCAATTCTGGGTTTGGATTTCTTTATGGTCCTGACTAAAACATAAGCAGGCCCTAGAGGTCCAGCAGTAAGAAGCCGGGCTGTGATTCCAGAGACACGTGGTCTGAATCCATCAGCTGCTCCCCGGGAGAAGGATGGGCAGTCTCCTCCCGTGGGATTTACTGCCTCTGAAAACCCACTGGAGGGTCTGCGAGGAGTCTGCTTTCCTCAGGTTGACGTTCTGAGTCTCCTGTGGTTATTACAGGATTGTTGTTGTCAAAACAAGTATCTTCATTAACCTGAAATTGTTCCAGGTGAATAAGCAACCTGGTAAGATGTCAGTCATGAGTGGCTCACTGGCAAATGTCATCAGTACCACGGATTTCTACAGAACAAGATTTAAATCATAAATGTCACATAGAGGAAGGGTGTTCGCAGGACGCAGTGGTATTGCCTAATGAGTCTACTTTCCTCATTCACTCAGTCTTCAGCAGTTCCAAGCTACATTGAAATAATTTAAAGTTTTCTTTTTCATATGGTTATAATGGTTGAGGGGAAAAATTGCAATTTTAAAAAATCTTTAATGAAATTTGCTAAAGAACAATTACTCAATTCTTTAAAAATAATTTTTCCTTAAGTCTTTCTAAAATAATATATACATACATATAGATATAGATATAGATGATATAGATATAGATAAATAGATAAACACACAGTGTTTTTTTATAAGAAGGGAGATATGTATAAACATTATTACTTACATTTTGCTAATAACTTAAAATCAGAGTTGATAATATAATAACATTAAATGTGCTTTCTTTGGGTAAAATAATTTTACATTAACTTACATTAATTTTAAATAAATTTATTTTAAATTTGAGAGTTAGAATCCATAAATGTTACCTAACAACTTGCTTATTAACATGATCAGTTTACTTATTTTATATTAGCATATGTCTCCAAAATAATTTCACCTTGATTTCCTGTTAGGAAATGCTAAATCAACTTACTATTTTAGGTTAAACAAGAATAATCTGCAATTAAATGTTTAATACTGCATAACTAATACTATAAAATAATAGATCTGAAAAGCAATTTTTCCCTGTGCTTTCATTATCTTTAGAAAAGATCACTTCTTTGCACTTAGAATGAAGTTTCTCTTTTTTTAAGTTAAATAATGTATCATAAGTTGTCTTTTGTTTGCCATTTACTGGTATTCCTTTTTCCCCCAAACTTTTATTAATGCAACAGTCCAGTTGATGCACACTGACTGTTTCTCAAAGGAAAGCACTTGACTACGTTCTTCCAAACTTCTGAAGATATTTCTAAGGATTATTTGTGTGTTATCTCAATTTTTAGTGTGAGAGGAGGATGTCCTGTTATTGTGTGTGCGTCTGTGTGTCTGTGTGTACTAGGGCTGGAATTCAATCTCATAAGCACTTACCTTGCTGTGAGTCTGTAAACTGTTAATTATTGCAGATTCTAAAGTAAAAATTCAAGTGATAACAGTTTTCACCTTCTACTACACTTTTACTACAAATCTCCTTTATAAAGAAACCAAAAATTACAGTTTAAAATTAGCAATTTCTATTAAGTCAAAGTAACGGTTTTGTATTAATCACCTTTAAATATATTGGCTCTGTATACGTTAGGCCTCATTTTACACTTTGATATAAATAGAATACATAATAGGCATCTGTGGGATGTGCAATTAATGTCACTTTTGAGGAAAGACCCTCATAACACACTTGGGTTTTGGCACTCTTAAATTACGAGCTGTTTACAACACTCCTGGGATAAATTCCATATCCCCTCGATACTTATTATACATCTTCTGTGTCCCTTCTTTCCTGTTTCCTGGATTAACTGTGATTTTTCTGTGGTAGTTCATTGTCATTTAATTGGAAGATATTCTTAGTTATTGATAAATTTGCTAAATTTTGTGATGTAATTTTTAAAGGTTATGTCATTTGAGTTTTTAGCACATATCACAACACAATTATATACAATTGCTCAATTTTTAGACCTGTATTTGAATAATATATATGGTAAAAATAATTATAATTTTCAATCATAAAATGTCAGTATAATTATCTTCCTTAAAACTGTCTCTCTGGGAAATATGCTGTACCCTTCGCACCTCCGAGCCCACTGAATGGACAGCTAGGAGCTAGTTCCAACTTGAATGCAGTGAGTTGAGTTTGAGTCAACACTTGAAATAATGTGTTTAAGCATCAGACTGCGAATGGGAGGGCCGTCAGTTCAAGTCCACTAAAGGAAGTTGAGGATTTTCCCTTCTACTTGAAAAATTATCGCAGGTTAAGAATTGAGACTTCCAGGTAAAATGGTAGCGTCGTCAGATGCTGATTAGGCCTTCTTTAATGAAGAGCTCAGAAAACAAATGTAATCCTGGAACATCGAGATGAAAAAGGAAGAACTGATGGACAGCACAGACTGAATAGACAGACGGCACATAGTACCATAAACAGTACGGTGAAGTAGTGTGTATTTGCTGTGGGAACCTGGGTCAGGTGGTGTCTTTGCCAGCAGAGAGATGGCAGAAAAGGTGCAGAGTTCCCTCCTGCCCCTCCTGGAAATGAGGTAGGGACTTGCCCTGCCACCACGCACCATGCGGTAGGCAGCATTCCCAGGCTTACTTTGACTTTGCCTGACTCCAGACACAATTTGTATTTGTGAGCTTGTTTGATTGTACTCTCCATCTCCCTCTGGGAACCAGCAGCCTGCGGTCACCCCACTGGGGAAGTACCCCTTTCCCTGAGTGTACCACCCTTG